CCTGAAGCAAGCAAGCCTCATGTTAGTTTCAAGCTGCCTGGCTGCCAGCTGCCATCTTGGCTGGCAGTTAATTTGCATATCGCCCTGATTAGCCAATGGGAAGGGTAGCGGTCGTACACTAATTACCATGTTTCTCTTTTATTAGATAGGATTAACATTGACAGTCCAGTAAAATGAAAATCATAGTAATTATCAATAATTATAGTCAATAAAATGCTTTGTTCATTTTTAAGTAGACTTTGAATTGGGAAAGGCCTCATTTAAAATAGCAAAATCGTAAGATTTCCTTTTCAGAGTTTAAGATTCATATTTTATATAACTTGGAATCTAGCCAAATAGTCCTGATTTTTCTGGCAGTGTTCTAGATAATAGGTATATGGTACGGAGCTTCACAACTGTGGTGCCTTAAACCAACTGTGGAAATGATTGTTCAGAAATTTATAATAGTTGAAATTATATTTGAGCACTATTTCTATACCTCTTTCTATCAATTTTCTAAATTCAATAATTATTTTCACTTACACAATTTTATGCCTTGCCAGAGCTTTGTTGACTATATCAATCACCCCATTTAGTCTGGTTGTTAATGACAAGTTTTGGAGTTTGTTTTTAATCATAGTGAGGGTCTTTGCTTTGTCTGAGAATGTAGAATATTACATTTGATTTTTTTTTAATTTGCTCTTATATTTCACGATTATTTTTTTTTTACTAATGTAGAAGGTATGTATGATTTTTATCTTTATTACTGGCTACTGTGTATTTCTAAATAGAACATTATTTTGTTAATTTGCTCAACTACTCCTTGTCATAGATTATTTGTTCTTAATAAGAGCAACTGCCTGAGTTATAAAGTAATTTCATAATGAATTATTTGTTTTTATAAAGTAAAATGTGTACATGAATGTGTGTGTGCACATGGATGCAAAATAGATTCCTAGGTTTAACCTCTGAAAGGATTCTGATACCAAGTTTCAAAATGTCAGACCTATTATTCTTTGTGAAATAATGGAGTTCTTTCATTGGGATCTCCCAAGCAATTTGTAGGAATGAATTTGCTTGGGTTTTTGTTTGCTTGCCTGTTTTCTTTTGGTGAGAAAGTTCTGTTGTTTTTTGTAAAGGTCCTTAGAGTCTAAATATGAGTGTTTCTAGAAAGCTTTCATCTTAAGAATATGACATTTTTGGTTTAAAGTATTATTTAATGTTTTTTATGTTTTGCAATTTATATTTCTCTCTAGATAACAAGAATACTATTTCTTCGTGTAAAAATATTCCTGTTCTTTAACTTTTTACAGATCCATTAGATGTGATAGATGTGGATTGGTCTGGTCTTATGCCAAAGCATCCAAAAGAACCACGAGAGCCTGGGGCTGCACTCTTAAAATTTACACCTGGAGCTGTTATGCTGAGAGTTGGGATTTCTAAAAAGCTGGCAGGTTCTGAACTCTTTACTAAAGTCAAAGAAACTTGTCAGAGACTCTTAGAAAAACCCAAAGGTAATTCGATTGTACATTGTGTGTTATAAATACTAAGATGCCTTTGAAAGGATTATGTTCTGTTCTTATGTAATACAAATAATATTGTAATATTGGATTTATCTTTTTTTTTTTTTGAGAAACCACTTATTCATCATTTAATTCTCATGGAGAGAATTTCTTTTTTAAAATTTATTTTGAGAAAAAGTTATGCTCATAGAAAAGTTGTGAAAATAGCATAATTATCTTTCTGTATCAAAATTACTTTGAACAAAGTACTCAATTGTTTCACCAGGGCTAAATGAAGCAGAACCTAGGGAAATAGACTAGATATTTCCATATCTAAGCAAAATGGATGTCTTGGCAGCCCTTTTTCCTGCGAAATGGGGAATTCTACCCAAATACAGTTGTGTAGGCTGAACCTTTAAAAAAGTTGTTAAAATCTGGGTCTCTAGGCCAAATGATCTGGATTCCAATAGACATACCCCTTACTAGCTATTATTTAATCTCTCTGTGTTAGTGTCACCATCTTAAGCTGGGAACAATGACACCACCAACTTCATATGATTGTTAGGAGGAACATATGAGTTATTACAAGTAAAATACAACAGTTTCTGATGTGTTGTAACACTCAGTAAATATTAACTGCTACTCTTTAATTTGAAACTATTTTATCACATTGATTTTAGACCTTATCAAGACAAAAATGAGGAGGGCGTGTGGAAAGGAGGTAAAAGATGAAAGTAACATTATTTACTTTTATATAATGTTCATGAGAGTAAAAATGTTTAGTTAAAAGAATTAAGCTTTTTATTATTAAAAAATTCTTTTAAGAGTTTCATGAATCCATGCCCTTTCAGCTGCTAACAATCAGTAAAACTCTTGATTTTAATATTTTTCAGTAAACATAGAATGTATGTATATGAAACATTTAAATTATAATTGTGAATGTGTATAGCCTGACAGGTGACCAAAGTCTTAGGTTATTGCTCTACTCTTTCTACCGATTTTGGTTGCTCTGTGATCTTAAGCAAGTAACTCCTGTGTGCATAAAATGTTGAAATGAAACCTCTAAGGTCTTATCCACCTTTGACTCCTGTGACTTTTGCAAATGGCATTTCAAGTTAAAATCTAGTTTAATTTTGCTAATTATAATATACAGTTTAACCCTGGCTTACTCTCAATAATGAAAATACACACTGTAGAGAGGGATTTCACTGTTCTTTACCAGTCCTATATTTTGCTATGATTGCTTTGCTAGAGAACTGACATAGGATGCTGAATATAAGTTTTCTAAGAAATAGAACTTAGTTTTGTTTACTGCTCTATCCAGTGTCTAATGATATGTTCTTACTAATTATGCCATTGCTTAGAAAACTACCTGACACATAGTAGGTATTCAGTAAATATTTGTGAAAGAATTGATACCAATTTTTCTATTTTACTGGGTCTATTTCAGTGCCCCAATCCCCACATTGCATATGTAATTTTGTTGTTAATCCTCACCCGAGCATATTCCATTGATTTATTTTTTTAGAGAGTGGAAGGGAGGGAGAGAGGCAGAAAGAGAAACATCGATGTGAGAGAGTCACATCTATTGGTTGCCTCCCACACATGCCCCGACCAGGGCCAGGGATTGAGCCTGCAACCTAGGTAGGTGGTGACCTTGGCCAGAATCAAACCCAAGACCCTTCAGTCTGTAGGCCAACACTCTAATCACTGAGCAAACGGGCTAGGACACCATATGCAATTTTTTTAAATATATTTGTATTGATTTCAGAGAGAAAGGGAATGAGGGAGGGAGAGAGAGGAAAAGGGAGAGGGACAGGGGGGAAGAGAGAGAGAGAGAGAGAGAGAGAGAAAGAGAGAGAGAGAGAGAGAGAGAAAGAAACAGAAACATCAATGATGAGAATCATTGATCAGCTGCCTCCTGCATGCCCCCTCACTGGGGATTGAACCCAAAACGTGGGCATGTGCCCTGACCAGGAATCAAATCCTGACCTCCTGGTTCATAGGTCGATGCTCAACCACTGAGCCAGCTGGGCAGCACCATGTGTAACTTATAAAAATATTCCAGGAACCTTAAATTCTTAAAGTATAAAACTTATTGTATGCACAGTTAACTGTTGAGCAACACGGGTTTGAACTGTGTGGGTCCACTTATATGTGGATTTTTCAATATACATACAGTCACCTCGGGTGAAAAAGCAGTATTTTTGATCCACAGTTAGGAATCCATGGATGCATTGTTCTATGCCATTTTATATAAGGGACTTGAGCATCTCTGGGTTTTGGTACCTGTGTGGGATCCTGGAACCAATTCCCCTGTGGATTCCAAGGAACAACTGAGTTTTGGGGGAGTCAAAGTTACAGGCAGATTTTTTACTGTGCAGCGGGTTGGCACTCCCCGCCCCCAGCTCCCACCTTGTTCAAGGGTCAACAATATACTAACATTTAAATTGCTTTTTTCTAGGTTTTCGCATTGTAGTATGATTAAATTCTTTTGAGTTGCACTTTTCCAGTTACTTTGTTTCCTTTGTTCTGCTTGTACTTAAGTATGTGTTTAATCAGTCTAGGGATGTTTACAAGTATGTGTTAAGAATTCCTATACAAAGAAATTTGTCTTGAGCAATATTCAAGGATGGCATGGGTCTCCTTGCAAATTCTTCTATAATGGAATGGTAGTTAATGGGTTTTTTGTTGTTTTTTTAATGGTATACATATGTGACTGTCATTGTTTGGCTCAGACATTTGTATCTCAGAATCACCTCAGGAACTGCCTTCTTTGCCTATAAGGTATCCTGGTCCAGCTGTGGAAGCTTTTCTTATATTATATACCCATTGACTATGTATATAACTTATTTGCTAAGTATATTGTCTGAGATTAGGTTTTTGTTAATTATCTAATCTCACTGTGCTTTACAGTTCAGAAAATGAGAATGAAATATTTAATGCTGTTTCAATCAAAGGTGTCAGTTTTATTTTTACTTATGTGCTATTTACTGCTTTTCTTTGTGGGCTCTAACATTAACCTATTGGATCATCTTGTTATAGAAGCAGTACCTGGTACCTGTGGCACTCTTGGCCAATTCTTAGAATGCTAGCCTGGTTTTTTAAGAGGTCACAGACTGTAGTCATATTATTACATTTGAATCTTGTTACAGTAATGTCCTGAAACCTAGAACTTTAAGTACTTGTTGATGGTGTGCAATATTCTGAGTTTTACTTCATTAATTCTTAACTTGATCTTTTCTTCCCAGTTAATAGTTGTAATCAGTGTCTTAAATTCTCGCTTCCGAGTCTGCTTTTCTTGTACCTTAAACTTAAAGCACTGTCAGAAAGTTTATTTTTGTTTCAGACTAGCAACAAAACTACATACTGAATAACTTTCACAGAGAATATATCGCCTTTAATGTAAAATAATTTTTATCAATGTTGGTAACTTTGATGAAGTACAGACTGTGAAATATTCATCTAAGCAGTATTACTTTTATATTTTAGGAAAACTTAATGTGTGTTTTTGGTTTTTGAAAGATGCAGACAATCTTTTTGAACATGAATTGGGAGCTCTCAATATGGCTGCATTACTACGAAAAGAAGAAAGAGCAAGTCTTCTTAGTAATCTTGGACCATGTTGTAAAGCATTATGCTTCAGACGGGATTCTGCAATCCGAAAGCAGCTTGTTAAAAATGAGAAGGTATTATAGTTTTGGTACAAATGCAAAGTGTTTGTTGAGTATTATGAATTACATACTTTTCATTTGTTTGCTTTAAATATTTTTCATTTCATTGTGAAAAGTTTTTTTAGATAATTAAACATACTAGAAATTTATTTAAATGGAGGGTTAAGGAAAAATATTCCCCAGAATATGGTGAGAATATTTATAGAATTTATGAGAGTGTATCAAGTTGAAAGAGAGGGAAATAAATACAAGTGATTATATGTAAGCATTTACTTGAGAAGAATAAAGGGAATTGAAATATGAGAGAAATAGAAATTAGTTTAGATTGAGAAGGGATCTGATCATTAGAAATTGAAAACGTTTTAGACTTTTTGAAGCTAAGAAACTGGGATTTTAATTTGGGAATGTGATTTGGTGGGCATGGGTAATGTGACAAAAGAGAGTTTGTCCTAAAAATTTAGATAAGCATTTAATTTGTTAACTTTTTACTTGGAAACATTAAGGAAAACATTGCTAAATAAAGGATACTTCATTAAAGAAAAATACTCAGATTTGTGGAGGACATTAAATTTATGAGAAAGAGAGGGATGAACTCATCTCTAAAGATTAAAATGGAAACAGATATAAGGAATAGGAAAATTTTAAAGTCTTCTCAGCTTAACGACCTGACTGAAAATTACTTTCGACAGAGTTGCTACAATCATTCTGTCCTTTGTACTCCCATTTCAGTATGTACCTAGTAGTCTCTATTCCGTTGCTTAAGTACTCATTCTCCTTGCAGCCTTCCTCAACTAGAAATTTCTCTGAGAGAATCAAGTGCTAGGGCCCTAAACCTGTATATACTGAATCAACTTTTTTCTTTCTTTTTTTAATTCTTACCCAAGGATATTTTTTCCATTGATTTTTTAAAAAATATATTTTTTTGATTTCAGAAAGGGAGAGTGGGGGAGAGAGAGAGAGAGAAACATCAGTGATGAGAGAGAATCATTGATTGGCTGCCTTCTGCATGCCCCACACTGGGGATCAAACCAGCAACCTGGCATATGCCCTGACTGGGAATCAAACTGTGACCTCCTGGTTCATAGGTCAATGCTAAACCACTGAGCCATGCCAGCTGGACTCCATTGATTTTTAAAGAGAGTGGAAGAGAGAGGGAGAGACAGAGAGAGAAACATCAATGTGAGAAAGATACATTGATTGAAAGAAACAATAATACCTGCACATGCCCCAACCGGGGTGGTGATGAGCTTACAACAGAGGTGTGCACTTGACCTCAATCAGATCTGCGACCCTTTAGTTTGTGGGCCAACGCTCTAACCACTGAGCAACTGGCTAGGGCTGAATCAACATCTTATGCATCTAAAATGGTAATAGTTATATCATCCCTGGTATTTAAATAAAATATAATCACGCAAATTATTTTTTGTTTATGTTTAGTTCATGTAAGGAACCCCACTTGAGAAAGACTCTATGGATTTTAATCTAATCAGAATTGTGTATCTTTTTATTTATTTACTAGAGGCCCGGTGCACAAAAATTTGTGCACTCAGGGGGTCCCTCAGCCTGAAATGTGCCCTCTCGCAGTCTGGGACCACTTGGGGGATGACCACCTGCTGGCTTAGGCCCGCTCCCCGGGGGGGGGATTGGGCCTAAGCTGGCAGTCAGACATCCCTCTGGTAGCCCAGGAGCCCTTGGGGGATGTCCACTTGCCAGCAGGGAGCAGGCCTAAACTGGAGTTGGACATCCTTAGTGCTGCTGAGGAGGCGGGAGAGGCTCACACCACCACCGCTGTACTGGCAGCCGTCAGCCTGGCTTGTGGCTGAGCAGAGATCCCCCTGTGGGAGCACACTGACCACCAGTGCGCAGCTCCTGCATTGAGCGCCTTCCCCCTGGTGGTCAGTGTGTCATAGTAACCAGTCATTCCCAGTCGTTCTGCTCTTAGGGTCAATTTGCATATTACCCTTTTATTATATAGGATTATTTTATTCTCACCTGAGGGTATGTTTTTATTAGAGAGAGAGAGACAGAGACTGAGAGAGGGAGAGAGACATCAATTGGTTGAAGCCCATATGTGCCCCAGCCAAGGATCAAATTCACAACCTAGATATATGCCCTAACCTGGAATTGAACTTGCAAACCTCTTTTGGTATATGGGTGACACTCCAACCAACTGAGCCACCTGGCCAGGGCCTGCCCGTTTTTATTAAAAAATATTATGTAACATTCCCTGTTTCCTCCTCTAATATGCCATAATGGCTTCAAAAATTTTGATAACCAAAAATGCCCCTGAAAAATTCTTGAGAACCATTGCTCAGAATCTTGTAGTCCTTCATACGGGGCACAGGCCATTGACTATGAAAGAAAAGTACAGAATAGGAGGTAAGGGGTACCAAGTGACAAAAAGAAAGTAGAAAACCATTGACCCCTCCCCCGTAAATTGGCATGATTATATTTAGGAGAATGATTTTTAAAGTATCTAAATTACAGTTCATAGCAGAAAACATAGGTGAAGGGTACTAAAAGAACTCTTAGCTGCATAGTAGTATTAAAAGAATGTACAGAACCTGTATCAAGCAAAAAGGAAATAATACCAGAAATCAATAAAATTCATACTGGAAAAACATAAGAGAACGTTCATGAAACCAAAAGCTGATTCTTTGAAGAGATGAATAAAATTGACAATCCCCTCCCCATACTGATAATGTGAAAAATAAAATACAAATTATCAATATCAATGAAAGAGGGAATACCACTGCAAATCTCACAAATATTAAAAGGATCACACAGTACTGTAAACAACTCTATGCGCATAAATTTAACAATTTAGAAGAAAAGAATCAGTTCCTCTGAAAGCTACAAACTATCAAAACTTATTCAAGAAGTGATAGATAGGAGAAACCAAGATAGCAGCATAGGTAAACACCTGAAATTGCTGCCTCACACAACAACTTCAAAACTACAACTAAAGACAAAACAGACATCACCCAGAACCAAAGGAAGGCTGGCTAAGTGGAAATTCTACAACTAGAAGGAAAGAGAAAAGCACACTGAGACTCAGGAGGTGCGGAAGTAAAGTGCAGAGGTATGGAGGCGCACGTGGAAAGGGCTGGCAACAGAGGATGCTGGTGTCTTTTTCCATCAGGAGGGAGTCTCAAGCTCCCAAAGGCCCTGACTCCAATTCCAGGCGAGTCTCTGGGGACCCAGACTCATAAAGGGGAGAAACTGTACTGTCTGGCCTCAATCAGAACTCGAGGGTGGCTTTCTCTCAGACTGCTTGCAGCGATTACCTCGGGACACTGAGACGCAGGGTCTCTTAGGGTAGGAATGAGGAGAAGCCATAGCTGCTTCCTCCACCCTGTTGATTCCCTGAGACCCCACTCCACCCAAGCTGTGTGCAGAGGCTTTTGCATATGAATGGCCTGGCCCTTTGCAATCTAAAATTACCTAACAAACTGCAGCTGGGTCAGAGAGACCCAGAACATCCAAAAGAAGGCTCAAGGCCCCACAGCAGCTTGTATTGCTTCACAGCTGGGCCTCATCTAGGCACCTCCAAACCCCAAACAAAGAAGAGGAATCTGCAGATCTCTCCATAGCTCCTGCTGGGTAGCCTCAGACAGATGCTAAATTAGCACCTCCTGAGATCCAAGAGCCAGTGTACCCAGTGGTCAGAGGGGGACCGTCCAGACCACAACTCCTCAGATCCATAAGGGACACACTCAGGGTGCAGTCTCAGTGAGCATCAAAGCCCCACTGAAGCAAGTCGCGCCCCAGAAGGGTGTCTCCAGCACAGAAGTTCTCCCAC